AATTAGTATATGTAGGTTACAAAAACTTTGAGTTTATCGCATTGTTCAACGAAATTAACATTTTGCTAAGACCGTTTTTACCATACATACTTATCTATGTGTATAATAAAATGGTGGGAAAGACAAAACTGTACATTGATTTTTTTAAAACAAACAATGGCCAAAAATATATATGTTAGAATTTTTGTCTGTTTGTATGTTCAGGATAAACTCAAAAAGTACTGCATGGATTTACTTCAAATTTGGCACGAATATTATTAAGAAGTCGGGCCAACATATAGGCTACATATTATCACGCTATCACCTACGGGGCACGAGCAGTGAACCTTTATTTCTTACTAACTACACACGTACGAAGTCGCGGGCGAGGGTTTTATTTGTCATTCCCAAGGAAACAAAAAAAAACATGTTTTTTTTGGCAAAAAAATCAACGCAGTTTGTCTGTCATAATAACCGTGAGTGATAAAAATCGTTACCTACCTATATTACCTTGTTTTTTCGTGGCGATATCTACACGAACCGGTTTCCTTTTTGCGATAAATTAATTGTAAGTAATTATTAACAATATTTAACACGAATCATGCGTAGACACGAGTTATTACAATATAAACTGCTTTTATTATGGCTCTAAGGGTTTTTTGAGAATATCCTGTTTGCTTTAAATAGAGCTATTTACACCGGTGAAATATTTTTAATAGGTACGTATAAGTAGAAAAAATCTGTTTGATATAAACTTTCATCTAAAATATCAACTTTTGAAAAAAAAAAAACAGCTTAGTGTATGTCGGATTTAGAATATAGTACCAAATTTGAGTAGAAAATTAAGTTAGCTTTAATAGGAAAACTATGGCAATTTTAATGTTTATCAATATATTAGTAGGACTTATCAGTTGGTAAAATACACGAAAAAATAATTATTATCACCAAATTATTAGTTAATAGATTAATGGAAAGCTAAAGAACTTAATATTGTAATAGAATTAGACTTTAGTGGTTACTGATTCCTTTGTGATATTTTTTTAAAACATAAGTATAATATTTATCTATTCGATATGATATAAAAACAAAATTTTTATCCACATATTCATCCTTGAACAGAATTCTAATTTATTTTACTAAATATTTTGCTTAAATTTCTATAACAATGATCTTAAATTGCTAGTCAGATTTGAAGTCGCATATTAACAAGAGATAAAGAATAATATAAAAAAAAACATATCCATACAAACAAAAATTAGCAAATTAACATATCTTCTCGTAAATATTATTAAATATTGGAAAATTAATATATTTTGATTGACATATTTGATAAAAATAATGCCTTTTATAAAAGTAGGCGTTATTTAGTACATTATACTTCATAAAAGTTATAAGTAGTATATAATTCGCATATTCTAAAACGTAAAATTTTAAGTCATAGTCAACTTTTTGATTAGTTATATTGTGATCCGTATACATTAAATGAAATAAAACTTCCAAGAATATCGTATTAAAATTCGTTAAAGAATACGACAAATTAATAACGCGCTATGAAAAACTCGTCCTTCACAAAGTACCGCCACTACTGACGTATATGAGCTCAAGCGGACCGCTCGTGCAGTTTGCTGAGTTGTAGAACTGTCATCTATGCGTGGGTTAAGTATTTTTGATGTAAACATATTTTAATAGATTTTTCTGCACTACAGACCTTATTTCAGCATAGGGCTTATTTGTATCAGGTACCTTATTAAATATCATGTTTTGATCCAAAGGCAAAGCACAATATAAATACATTACACAGTCTACATACATAGACATTATGTACATATATACATACACATTACATAGGTACACACACATTAGGTACCCGGATTACAACTGCATACTTATCATTTTAATGCTACGAATAGTCTTTGAGATATTAATTCATTAATTACATCATTTTACAAGTAGAAAGATTATTTTTCTACAATCTGTATTATTATTCAGATCCTCCAGTGTGTTACTCCAATAGTAATTTGCCATAAAATGTCATCCCAGCGATTTTCCATCACTTTTAGATCCTGATGGAAGCGCTCTCCTTGTTCTTTGCTGTAGGGACCGATATTGTCAGGGAACTTGCCCAAGTGGCTATTACAGGTAGTGCACTTGTATGCAAATATACAGCCAACAATTTTAAAGTTATCTAGAAGCTCCTGAACTTATTCAAAGTGGTTTTCTTTCTTTTCATTACCTACAAAATCTTTGACAACATTGACGACAAATTTTCAAGCCACTGATTCCAAATTATTTATTGAACTTATGATTTTTTTGTCTTTGGTGATAAAATGATCTTGGTGGAGGTAAAATTATCTTGTCCCCGGAAACCAAAGGCATACTACGTTTCGTGTCTCATATACCATGCTATCCATTAAGGGTCACTCTTTCTTGATCCAATGATCGTGTTTTACTCTAATGTACTGATGGTTCTACCCTCACAGTATAGTAGACTGACTATGCTAAAGGCCGTCTAGCAGATGGTAGGTCAGAATATGTCATATATTTTCTATTTAGCCTATGTAATTTGTCTAAACAAAATAATAACCATCAAAGTGGTTTTTTGATTCTGACCAAATCATACGCGGGGTGCGTATGATTTGGTCAGAATCAAACTTTATTTGTGCTCGTTTGCTACTCGTTCCTTGTCTTAAATATTCAATACACAATTTGCATACTAGTTAACTACCTATGGTTGACCCTAGTCCTGAATTGTTATCATGAAATGCTCAAAATACGCTTTTTTACGAACCAGCCGTTGCAGGTTTTCGAAAAATTTCACCACATGTTAACCTCAAATGTAACAAAATGTATTTGAATTATTTACACAACACCTCCTAGACGAAAACATAATGATTTTATCGGATAATTACACAAATTGACGGCTCACGAACACAATGAATATAAAAATGGGTTTTTTTCCAATGTGGGTAGTTTATAAACTACACGTATTTTTGACGTCCCTAAACTTATGTGCGACTGTTATTCATCAAATCATTTTATAAGATTGCCAGCTAAAAAAACCTTTTAATTTTTTTGTAAACCTGTGTAATAGTACAAGTCCAAAGCCATCGTGTGTAACGTGTGGACCCTTCGGGTACGAAAGCCTACTAATGTCACCGTTAATAAGTCCATATGGAGAAAGCTAAAATGTATATAAAATAGTTTTTACTTTCACAGGAAAATTCGACGCTCATAAATTTTCAAAATTTTCTACAAAAGAAGTATGTGTGTTCTGTACCCCTAGCACGAACCATTATCGAATTCGAATAGTTTGCAAACCGAAATGTCAATGTCAAATTTTGTATAGAAACTTGAACAGCAGCGGCACAAAGTACGTAACTAAAACACATGGGGTCACCTTAAACTGAACAACCTAATTTTGCAGCCTAAGAAGGGCTAGAGAAAATTCGACACGGCCATCAGGGCTGCGGTGGCATAATGGTTAGTGCAGTCGCCCGGATAGCTAAGGGTGAGGGTTCGAGTCCAGTCTGCTGCCTTGTCCGCGTGGAATTTTCTAGAAAAAAATCTTTAGATTTAAACATTCAGCAGTTTAATGCATAAAATATAACCTTATTTTAATAAGAGATACAACGACTATGTTCAATTCATTATTATACTCTTAATTTTTTTTTAAAAAAATACAGTAGAAATGCGCCTGAATAAAAACTGTAATTTTAAGCTAAGTGTCATTGCTAGAACACTTTATAATTGAAATCACAGTTTCAAAAGTACATATAATGTATCAAATGTAGTACTAAATTGTATTAAAATAAAGTGTATTCAGTTTAAGACCCCTCCATGTGTTTCTCATTAAGAGATACTACTTTCTTTGTAAAATAACATTTAAAAATTATATGGGTATAATTTTATTGACAGTATAAAATAGTACAAATATTGCTTTAAAACTCCTGGTCACATGATAATTGAAAAAAAAAGGTTCATGATAGAAATTAAATTTTACACATACACCACCACGCAATTTAAATGCACTTGATGACTTGATAGAAGAACTAAAACGGTCGGATTTCGGCCAATAGGCAACCACTGTAAAGATCTGTCTGGGGATGTTACTTCCAACTTTGAAGACTACTGGTAAAGAGGTTATTCATGTTGAAACAGTCGCACAGACCGTCATTCGAACCACGGCTCGATAAGTATTTTACCAAACCAGCGACATGACCTTGGTCCTTCAGACCACTCTACGATCAATCCAATTACGAGCGAACTTGTCGCATACGACTGAAGTCCCTGTGACGGTCAGTGCGACTGTTGTAACGTGTAAACCCCTCTAAACAATCAATTTATTTGTTGTCATGTTCTTGGAGTGAGTAAAGATGCTAGCTAGAACTACATAGGTACGGCAGTTTGATGATAGGGTCAGTGGAGGTCTACTACTATCTGTTATCCGAAGCGTCTATACTGTAGACGCTGGCCACCATATTCTATAGACTCTATAGCATATGGTGGCCAGCTTCTTCACAACCGTGTGTAGGTATGTGGCTCCATTGGTCACGTCAAGCTTTAATTTAAATGATCATTGAAGACAGACGTTAGTTTCTTTGTATTCTCCCAAACAAACCTTTTACAAAAAATTACTCATCCGCGATTATGGGCCATCCACTTAGCTAATCATTAGTGGGTTTGCGTCATCTCAATCGATTTAGGGTAACTGCCAACGATATCATTGGTAACTGCATAAAAAAATCATTTGCATGATTTGAACCGAACATTCTAAGTTAAATAAAAGCTTTTAAAAAATATATTTTTTACTTCCATGTATTATACTAAAACTAATCTCATCTACCAATGTGCTCCAAGCCCCGTATTAAAATGACGTGGCAATGATTTCGCAATCGGATCGGAGATACTGGCGTTGCTGGGTAGTTTTTTAGATAAACAATAAAATATAGATGTCTCTGCCTCACTTTTCTTGCGTCCAAATATAGTACGCATGATTCATGACCTATCATGTCTTCTTCCAGGTGGTGCCATTCGGCTTCCGTCGTCTACTCAACTACATAACGAAGAACTATAACAATGTCCCCATCATTGTGACCGAGAATGGTTACGCTGACTTCAGCGGCGTCGCCGACCACGCCAGGGTCTCCTACTACAGCCACTACTTGAACGCTCTCCTTCACTCCATCCACGAAGATCACGCCAACGTCCAGGGTTATTTCGCCTGGAGTCTCATGGACAACTTCGAATGGGACGACGGATACGTGTAAGTTAAAGTTTTTGAATTCTTTTTGTTTGTTATATTCAACATTTGCCGCACAGCCAATTTATTGTGATCCCTTAATATCTGCAAGTGTGTTGAACTCAATGTTTAATGTGAGTAACTTTTAACTTAAGTCTTGTGATTTCATAGTCAACTGCGATTTAAATTATAGGCTATCAAACCTAGCAAAGCCTATTAGACCAGGGTCGATAATTTTAAAAATGGTGAAAAGTGAAAAAAAAATATAGTAGGATGAAACCTATTAGAAAAGGTAGAGAATATAACAAAAATGAAAGGAAAAATAAATTACAGGCGATCTGAGATCGGGAAGGGGGAGGGGGTGAGTTTTTAAGGGTAATAAATGGTTAATCTCGATTTCCGGTAAAACTGCAAGTCCTATGAAAAAAAGTTAAATGGCAAAGTTGTAGGTAATAAAATGATCTACAACTTTTGTATCGACACTTTTTTCACATAACCTCAAAATTTATGTGAAAAGTGCGAATAACCGAGTTTTTGGTTTTTGATTTTTATTTTTTGCAAAAACAAATATTTTTTCACGAAATTTGGTGAAAACTTACTTTTGTATGTCCCAAACATACAGTAATTTTTTTGATTTAAAATATTCATTTTTTCACCTTATTTAAACTTAATATCCAAAAAAGCACCCTAATTTTCAATCGAAAATTCTCACGTCAAAATATCTGCTTTTTTAAAAAAGTTGGGGTGTTTTTTGTTTGTTGAAATCTCTACTTTCTGATAGTATAAAAAAAAATATACACTACTATGATAAATGTTTTCAGAAAATGCAAATTAATAATGAAAAAAACTCGAATCCGAAAATCCTATTTTTAATACCCTACTTACAACAACTATTTTTGCATGTTTTATGGATTTGTAATTTTTCTGTTTATCAATATAACATAAAATCTTACGTTTTTCGAGTAATTAAAGTGTAAATTTTAATAAATAGTTCAAAATTATACATAATGATTCAAATCAATTTTTCGGATTGGAGTTTTTTTCATTATTCATTTGCAGTTTCTGAGAACATTTACAATAGTAGTGTATATTTTTTTTATACCATCAAAAAGTACAGATTTCAAAAAACAAAAACCACCCCAACTTTTTTAAAAAAGCAGATATATTGACGTGAGAATTTTCAATTGAAAATAAGGGTGCTTTTTCGATATTAAGTCAAAATAAGGTGAAAAAATGAATATTTTAAATCAAAAAAATTACTGTATATTTGGGACATACAAAGGTAAGTTTTCACCAAATTTCGTGAAAAAATATTTTTTTTTGCAAAAAATAAAAATCAAAAACCAAAAACTCGGTTATTCGCATTTTTCACATAAATTTTGAGGTTATGTGAAAAAAGTGTCGATACAAAAGTTGTAGATCTTTTTATTACCTACAACTTTGCAATTTAACTTTTTTTCATAGGACTTGCAGTTTTACCGGAAATCGAGATTAACCATTTATTACCCTTAAAAACTCACCCCCTCCCCCTTCCCGACCTCAGATCGCCCGTAATTTATTTTTCCTTTCATTTTTGTTATATTCTCTACCTTTTCTAATGGGTTTCATCCTACTATAATTTTTTTTGGTCTTAAAAATTATCGACCCTAGTCTATATGTTCTTCTCCGAGACTAAAAATGTGTATGTTATTTTAAGAGTTGATTTCAATACTGCTGTAACTCTTAAATTTAATTCTGGTAATAGAAATCGCTGTTTATTTCTATCTGGCTGTTTTTTCAACATTTTCTCTTTAATAAATATACTTTAAAAAAAGGAAAACAAACAAATAAACAATAATTTTGCAAACATTTATTGCAGCTTCGGTATTTCTTAATACGTCACATATTGATTTCGTCTTACGTCTGTTTCATTCAAATTAATTAACTAGATATTTAATATAGCCATTAGAGAGTTGCTATTATATTAAAAAACGAACTTACACTATAATTTCATTATATGGATTCTGATGCTAAGCACTTTAAATGGCTATTCGTTTTTGCATTTTTTTTTAATTTTGACAGCAGGTAGTCTTTGTTATATTCTATAATAAGTCTTTAAGAAATAAAAAGGAGAAACAGTTGTTATGTTTACATCAGCAAATACTAATAGCCATATTAAACTGCGGCATGAATAAAACGTCCAACAGTATCAGTCAAATCATTGTAATTTCACTCGTGTTTGTAAATGCATTTGCAGGTCCCGCTTCGGTCTATATCTGGTGGATTTCGACAGTCCGAACAAGACTAGGTCGCCCAAGTACTCAGCCAAACTGTACTCGGGCGTGGTTGCAACTCGCCGTTTGCCAGAAAACTACGACCCCGAGGATTTCACAGCTTTCTCTTCGGCATCAAACATGACCCCGGCAATTCTTTCTCCACTACTCATCTACACGATATTACACTGACAACCGTGTAAATATCACACAATACTTGTATATAAAACTGTAAGTCTAACTAACATTAAAATTTAAGTAACAAAATCGTAAGTTTTCAACTTGATCCCTTAAATAAAAATTAGCTTAGTCTTAGCCTTAAATAGTGAGAAGGAATTTGTCGAGGGTTCAGTTCAGTACTCGACGGTGGTGAGTTTCTTGGCGTTGTCTCTGGCCACTTCGCGTTTTAAATGGGCCTGGATACAGGCAAAGGACTTGCCCTTAGTTTCTGGTAGCACTAATATCATGAACACCAGACCCATAAAAGAGAACGCTGCGAACCCCCAAAATACTGTATAAATTTCGTATGCATCTTTCACCACCTGGAAAAGAGGAAAGTATTTTGTTAATTATAACGTTGTAAAACAAATATGACTCTATAGTCATCCATCGCAATTTTAATCATTTGGGACATAACTTCATAAGAGATTAAAGACTTCAAAGGTAATTGTTTAAAATTGACCTATGTAATCATCTCTTTTACATGAATTGGAAGATTACATTAAATCTAAAATTGTCTATATTCTTAAATAAAATTTGTAAAATGATTATGTATAATTTTTAATTTAAACTGAATACCCTTTTTTATTTCTTTGATATTTTGAATTGTAAAACATTAAAACTTGGCTGTTTTTACTTTTAAGATATTGTGATCGAATGAAAATACAATTATATTGAACGTGATTTTTCTATAATTAAAAATATCGTAAATGTATTGATTTTACTTGACATTTGATTTTCTATTTGAACTGAATACTAAAAAAAAACGTGAATTGCAAAAACAAAATCTAAATTAAGTTGTTTTTACTCATAAGATAATGTAAGATTTAATTGAATGTAAAATGTATTTTATGCATTTGATGACTAAAATAAATGCTATTATTGAGCGGATCGGACAAGAATTTTAATGACTATTCCCTATTTAATTAAAAAAATAAATAGATTGGGCGACATTGCAAATACCCTCGCTACTAGTGCACAGATTTATTTAGAAACCTTTGGTGGTTGCGCTTTGTCGAGGGATATTCTCCTTACCTAATACTTATTGCTTTTGTTTTTCATTTCCTCTTGATCTAAGAAGTCGTTTATAATCATAGTTCTGAGCGTAAATCTAATCTAGCTTGTCACTTTGGTACTCATATAGCGGCAGTAGCTGTATAGATAATAAAACATCAAATAAAGGAAACGTACCTGGAAGAGCTTTTGAACTGCGAACATAGAGATGCCGGTGTAGATGTGTGCTATGCAAGAGGCATACAGCTTAACGTTTGTCGGGAACATCTCACCGATGATGACGTACGGCACAGTGGACAAACCGATGGCGTAGCACACGATGTAGACCAGCAACGCCATCAGGGGCAGCCAGCCTAAGTTCGACACTGACCCCTTGTACGTGATGTCGAAGAAGAAGTACGTTCCGATCGTTCCGTTCATCAGCCCGACTCCGATAGCTGACAGAAGCAAAAGGGGCTTCCTTCCAACTCTATCTACCAATATCACAGAGAGCACACAAGTAGCCACTTGCACACATCCCAGTATTATAGATTCTTGATAAGGTTCTATCGACGCACTAACTTCTGCAGTAGCATTGGCAGCCAGCGTTCCCTGAGTCGTGCAGTTGAATATCACTTGGGCGTAAGCTACCACAGCGGCACTGCCGCACAGCTGTTGTATAGTAAATATACCCAGACAAATCCACATAGCTTTTCTATTCGTGGCTTCCGTGACGAGATCGCTCCAAGTGCCTCTGTTTTTCATGTCCTCTTGAACGTTTATTTCAATGTTTTTAAGCTCTGTTCTAATATCACCAGAACGCAAGTTCCTTAAGGAACGTTCGGCTCTTTCGCTGCGTTCGAATTTCAGGTAATAATAAGGCGACTCAGGGAGAAACAGAAAAGTGATTATGAAAGTTAAAGGCAGGATCAAGTTGATGCCGGCAAGGGTGCGCATCGTGACGAAAGGTCCGATGCAGTACTGGGCAAGAATTCCGACCTGAAAATAAAGAAATGAAGCCATCATTATTATTGCGACATTACGTCGTGAATATATAAACACATCCGTCACCATTTTCATTATAGCGCAGTATCTTTATTGTTGTACATCTGTGCTAAATCCAACAAATAGGCCTGACTGTTAAACGATTATCATTTTATGATGCAGCTTTGCAAGCACTTGGCCCTATCTTGAGATTTTATTGAGTTTGGTTTCAAGATGTTAATGTTTATTTGTACGATACAACTGTTATCAATAACTTATTAACTTTAATGTTATATGTACCTATACGCTAAGATATCATTGAGAGCATATTGTTTTGTGCCTTTTTTTGCTTTATTTTTACCTGCTAAAGAACATTTGAGCTTCAATAAAACAATAATTTGAGATAGATAGTACATGATAACTTATATTAAGCAGTAACTGAACATACTAATAGTTTATTAGAAATAAAAAGGTATGCGCCGGAATGGCAGATAGTAATGAGTCACTTAATGAGTGATCTATCCTAACATACACAGCGTAATTACCCGCATAAGGATCAGGTAAATAGTTTGGTCATTAAATCATTCCTAAATATGGAATAAACGTGAACATTCCTATAAACACTACACCTAGTGTGTAGTTGCAGTTGATATTGCGAGTTGGTCCGTATTCATCCTATGTCGTCTTATCCTACATATTGCCTATTTCAGATTGCTATGAAGTTCTAATGTTCTTAATCCTGGGATCTGTTTATATCTCGACTAAGAATACGTAATCACAGATTACTTAATAACCCTTTTCATTATCAGGTATCAGTTTAACGAACTTTTTGTCCATTAATTTAATACAGGATTCTTCAATTTATATAGAGATGAGATTCTTGACATCATGACATTATTTGATGATGATAATGTGTTCTCAGGGACCTATAGCGTCGCTAAAACCCGGTTGTTAAATAATGACTAAATGCAGCAGATTGGCGACTCTACGATGTTCTGTTAATAAAAGTTCATGGTATGGCCTCGATTATTTTTAAAATGGTCTCAATTTAGCGGAGTATCGTACTTATTATCGAACGAAGTGTCCCGTATGTGTCGGGTATTCTGTCCCTGATCGTCAATATCTTTTTATTTGTATCAATATACCTTTATAACTTCAATGAAGTTCTTCATTTAAGGTTTATTGGCGAAGTGAAAGTATTCATAATACTTTACTAACATTGTAAAAAAATGATAAGCTAAAATTTATGATTAGGTATGTCTAAATGCTAAAAATAATTTATGTATCACCATTATTATTACATAACTTAAATAAGCAATCCTTGCATTAAATAATGAATGCATTGTAACAATGAATTAAGGTCATTTGGCATTGTAATTTTTCGCAAACGAACCTTATCAAATTATGTCAACAATTTCAGTCAACCGTGCTATTCTCTGGCTAATGTACCTTATGTTGGATGATGTTACAGTTTCAATAGGTAATAATATAAGCATAAATTACGTCGATGCACAGTCAAGGTCTTGTTTTTTGAATAAATACAAGTTCACATAAATGATATCTCCTTTTTACATAGTAGCAATAAGGGTTAAATTTGTAGTTTAAGTGTATGTTTTGTTATTATCTCATCTCTATCAATAATCAACGTGATTCATTTCCGACTATCATCTTGTAACAACGCTATAAAAATCAAGCTAGATTTCTACTACGGCAGTTGCTTTTAGATAAATTTAAGAGCTCATAGTCAGACCTATGCCCTTGTGATTGCAAATTTAAAAATTAACATATCTAGCAATATTCGATAAGAAAGCTTTTATTTATTATTACGTGTATTATTATTTTTTATACAGTATAGTTCACTTTAAAGTGAAAATCAAGAAAAATGGATATGGGCTGATTTTTGAATTACCCGATAAAACTCATCCATTAATTGAATTATGACCCTATCAAAATGAAATGTTATAACACATGATATCAAAAATTAAAATGAATGAGAATGACATCTTTTTACAGCCTTTATGTTGTCTGTTGAATGATTAATACGACAGTAGAGGATCAAAAACAGTCTATAGGCTATATTGTTCATAGTTTGATGTCGTCATGTTGAAAAAAAAAATCTAAGAAAAAAGACATTATTACTTTATCACCGTGCCTAAATTAATTCATGAAATTCACCTCAAGCAATTAGCAATAAAATTAAACAGAGAATATATTGTTTTAAACTTTCATGGTCACTAACATTATAGCTATTAACGGGATTGTTACCATGTACCTTGTTTTTTATGAGTCTCCGATATTTCGGCACTGTTGTAAGCGCCATGATCACGGAGTAACTCATGGCGCTTGCAACAGTGCCGAAATATCGGAGACTCATAAAAAACAAGGTACATGGTAACAATCCCGTTAATAGCTATAAAACAGAGAATACTTCATTATATTAAGTATCTTGATCATTTATACTCACTTTATTCATGAGAGTGATAAGCGTGGAGAGAGCGCCCCGCACTTCGTTCGTGGCGATTTCCCCCGTATACATGGGGGCTACAGTGTACACGATGCCGTAGCCAAGCCCGGAGAACATTCTGGCGACGTACAACAAGGCGACAGACTTGGCTACAATCACGAGCACCCAGCCAAGTATGAAGGGTATCGCGCCGAGGAGTAGGGTGGTTTTTCTTCCGAACCTGTCCGCGAGGTAAGCGGACGGGACTGGTGTGAGCGCTGAGCACAGGATCATGATTGAGACTATCCATGATCCCTGGTCTGCGGAAGTGGGTATTGAGCTTTCAGGAGACTGGAGGTACGGCAGCGTCGGCGATGGCCAACCGTAGCAGGTACCCGCTGTTGCGGTGATGAGTGTTGCTGAAATGAGAGAAAAATGTGATCATGTCACATGTCTTTTGAGGAATTTATGGTTTTTATAGTAAAATAGCGGACCTGGCAAACGTTGTCTGTTTACCAAAAAAATGTAAATGAAATCATATAACCCGATTGCTGTGCCACCTATCAGGTAGAGTTGTAAGTTAAGATTTTTGATTATTTTTTTTATTTTCTGCGCATTTTTCCTTATTAGGTATATTTTATTTTATAACAAAGTACAGTCTATCTACATTCTACATGTATTATCTGTATATGAAGAATGTAGATACACATAATTTAGAGGTAGATAGAGATGCAAAGTAGATGCAAAATAATTTATACAAAATAAAAAATAGCGAAAAGAGATCATCACTCAGGCATTAAGGTATCATTTATAGCGTCTTACAAATATGTAATATCGTTTTAATTAGCAATTATATATTATACTCTTTATTGCATCAAATAGTTCAAAAAAGAAAGTCAAATACATAGTTAGTAAAGGTGGCTGTTCTAGTCAACCTAGGTGGTGTCGGGAGATTCCAAACTTAACTTACTTAAGTAACAGAAAGTACAATGAAAATTTAACTAAAAATAATTTACTACTACTGTTATAGGAAAAAGACTTGATAAATAATAGTTATATGTTTGATACATTTATGAATGGCTAAGGGGAAAATATATATTATTACTATATTATGCTATACTATTATTACCTATATAAAAAGCATAAGCTGCAACTAAATCAGTTCAAGGGAGTGTCTAATTATCTTTATTCCGGTCTATTAAGTAGCGATAAATACTAATAGGCGTTATTATTATTAACGTTACATACGAGTTTGATAAATATCTTCCAATGGCATATTAATATGATACGTCATAGTAGGTATATAACTTTGAAGTCTAGTCAATATTAATAATGTTTGTATTGAGAGTAATTGGACCAATTCCAGTATGGCATCTGCAATTATGACGGGCTCCACCCCAGTTGAATGTTGGTTTCAATACATTATACCAATATTGTTCTATTTGAATCAATCAATCGGTTCAAAGGAGTTTTCAAATTGGAGCATTGCTTGTTATTTTTCAAAGAGTTGCTCTAAAACTAAACATAAACGAACTGTTTGCGCCGCGCATTACTCTGTATTCATACCACTCAAAAAGCACTGGAAGTAATTATGTTTAGAGGATTATAAATCGATAAACAGCGACTTGCTATAATAGTTGTAAACGATTCTATCGATTCAAATATACTTAAGGGAAACGCACAACTAAATCTAATTCAAACTGATGCCTGCCCTTAGTTATAAATTAAGTGTAAGTGCGTTACACTTTGCATTGTTTGATTATGTTGTATGTGTCTACGACTTGCGTTGCCATCGGTAAATATTTACTAGATAAGGAGGATGATGCATACATGTTTTATTAACTTATCCAGTCAGTGTTGCCAGATGAGGAAATGCGATTTGCAGAAATTTAATTTCTTATTTCACACATCAAAAGCTAAATAAGGACTGCATGGCACCCATGACTGATGAAAATTAGTAGATTCGAAAAAAGCGGAACCGCGTAGATTTTTAGCGGAACGCGAATTCATTGTCAAAAAGGCGGTAGAAAAAGCGGAAATGCGGTACAATTTGGCAACACCCAGTCGTCTTTAGCACGACGGTAACAGGTATCGATGTTCGATAATCACCCTCTTAATTAATGAGGTTCCCTTGGGCGATTAATTCATTAACGGACTATTCATTCGTCAAGTCACCATGACCCACTTTCGGGTAGATTACAGGAAAACAAATTGTGAGTGTATTTTTTCCACATCGCGATATAAGTATGGAGCGTGGAAAGATACTGTACCTAGTTAATATTTATCATGGTTTATCGGTATCTTTAAGGGATCGTAATTTTAAATATTTATTATCATTTAATTGATTGTGGACAGCATAAGATACTGTACGATACAGATAATGTAGGGATATTAGTTTTTTTTACCTTTTCCAGAACTAAGTATTTAGTTCCTGTAGTAAAGTTTGTAGATGTAAACATGTTTGAACACATTATCGTTATTGTTATCGATGGAACTGGAAAATTCTGACTACTCAAGAATATTCCACTACATAGACTTCATAGGTAAGTGTATTTGATGATTTAATTTCTTCTTCTTTTTTTTAAAGATTTAGATTGCAAATGTTCGTACATTTGGAATCAAAGTAGGTATGTAGGTAAGTACACACATCAAAAAAAGTTTGCGATCACTTCGAAAAATAGATTGTTTTTGTGTTACAGAAGACTTTTTTGTAATTTCTTTTTCTTATAAGATTCTTAATTTTAAAATTAGAATTAGAACGTAAAACAATAAAATAATTCAATTGTTTCTCCATATAAAAAGACATGCAATCCATGCTGACACTCATTCAGAAATCTGACTTTGTCACTATTATCGAATTTAAAATATTTTCACACGAAAAGTTGTGATTTAAAAAAATCAACGAGGATTATCAGATGTTTTACGAACCAGAATTGTAACTGGTTAAACTATCTTTTTATTTCTATCAAAGTTTGTTTACAATCGCCTTACGATTGAATTATTAATTTTTTTATGATAAAAAATAAAAATAGTTTTAGTTTTTAATTTCTGAAAGTGTATTTTTAAATAAAATAATATATAATGTAAACATTTTCTCTTGATTAAGTTAAATTTTGAAAATATATCAGCTTTTGCAAGTGATCTCACACTTTTTTTAATGTGTGTATGTAATATACAATTCGATAATATTTATTTTAACGAAGAGTCATAACAATGTCTTGATATCTTCAAAGAATAACTCAATGTTGACGGAATAGGGGGAGCACGCAGGTTGAAGAATGATAACATTATCAAGCAGATGCACCAGGGACCAACTGCATAACTCGCCTTCAGAAGCAATAAAAATGAAATGTAAACAATATTATACTTTTATTTTAAGAATTAAATTGCTAGATGTTCGCTTCCCTTCTGAAACACCGACCGAGCGGATTATTTCTAGAAAAAAATTCTTTACATGTAAATAAAATTTATAGTAATACGTTTGAGAAATATTTTAGCATCTGTAATGCGGGCAAGATATCCTTAAGTTTGCTTCAACATGATGTTAATGTACTTGCCTATGTACAATATACTTAATTGAGGTGAAACTGCTTAATATCTATAGTTAATATATGAAACGGCGTTAGGCCGCTCACCGTAAAGATTTATGGGGATACCCAGTCATTAAGGCGAGGATTATTCCACCAAATTATTGTATCCGAAAACAAAATAGCATCAAACATTCAATTAATTAGCACGCAGGCGCAGGTATTTATTTAGCTAGTTTATGTTTCCCGTGTTGGTTTAATGTGTAAAAAAACGGAAAAACAAGATAATAATGCAGTTGCTAATTTTTCTTAGTTCTATGATTTTGTGCGCAGAAAAATTAGCAATTAACGCGGTCAGTAGAGTTTTGTACCTATTATTATTTGACTTACTTATTATTGTCCCCGGAAAAATACTGAGGCCCCATAGCAACCCCTAGTTATATTAATGAATATCATTTATAGAATTAATTTATTTTGTTCACATGGGCAGTAAAAAACACTAAAAAGTGGATATAAGTATGTAGTACAGTTCGATGTAGAGTCCTTATTTTAACTATTAGCCAGCATTTAATCTGTAGCTAAGTATGTTACAGAATCTTGGAATGTGATAAATCTAAAATTAAACCGTCAATATTAATACTTTGTACGCTTAACAAGGGATGACAATATAATAATTTATTAAAAGATAGTCGTTGATGTTATATGTCTCTGTAACATTGATTTCATATATGGATTTAAAAACAATTTCAATTAGAATTACATAAGAACTTTCAATGTGTAGAATACATCAGGCAAAACAATGCATTTTATGCTGTTTTATTTTATTTATTTTTGGCTGAGGTTGATAAATATTGTTAGACTTTGAGTCTAATAATCTATATGGAAAATTTGAAACCAAAATTAATCAAAATAAATGGCCGAATTTTCTTCTTTTATAAACGAGCTTAGCATATGATTTATGTTGACTAGTATTTCTACGATTGTCTAGAAAAACTATGCAAGTGCTGCCAACTCTTATGCTATGCATCTCATCGTTATATATGTTAAATGTATCATACAATGTTAGTACATAACGATAAATGCGACCATCTGTATGTTGCAGCATTAGTTTATAATTCCTGCGTTCATTTGTTTGTTTCAGTTCAAATCGATGATTTCAATCAACAAATAATGCTTATTACTATTAAATCAAATTTAACTAATTTAATTTATACAATGTTGCTATAGAATGAGTATTTTTTTAAAGCCACAAGTCGTATAAATGGTTACGCTTGTGGCTTGATAATAATTATACAATGATAACTTTTGCTCTTTGGTTTATACGGAAATGGAATACCCCCAATAAATATCATACCATAAGAGATTTATTTGTTTCGCAAATATTAACTGGTTTAATTAACGTTAGCTACTTATTTTGAGAGAATTGTTGACATGAGTACAAATAAGTCTACTGTGCCTCTGGTTTGGACAAGAAAGGGCATTATATAGATAAATTTCATATTTTGCCATGAAATCGTTCTTACCCTATCAGAAAATACAATTGTGCCTATCAGAGATTTCAATCAAAAACAAAATTAGTATTATGTAGCAAACATACTAAGTAAAATATTGAAATAAACAATTTGATTGAGATTATAAGATTTGGGATACCTCAACGAATGCCAGTTGGCACATGCACCACACCGTTGCTAATATACGAGTATAATACGACATACACTAATTTTAGTAAACTTTGTGATGTTATCCCGCTATTGACCTGAAAGAGAAACTATCTATCTGAAAAGTTTTTAACGTTTTGTAAATTTCAATTTACGGGTTTTTTTCTAACAGGGTAGGCTTCATAGTATACATTTATGAGTAGGATCTTTTTAATAAATAAAAAAGATATGTTT